CGCGGGCCCAGGCCAAGAGCGAGAAGGGAGCTAAAAATACTCTGGGGTCACGACATCATCTGCGTTGCGGTTCCTGTGTGAGACGGGGCCAGGAACGCTTGCTTCCCGCACCTTTCGAAGTGGCATTAACACATCAAAACTGTTCTAATGAAGCTGGAGGAAAGGCCTGGCTGTTTCTGGGCCTCTCCACCTGAGCGCCTGCCACCCACACACTGCCAGGGTCCGAGAGAGGCTTGGGGGGCCTGTTCGTAGGTTCTCCTGGGACGGCTGGTTCAGACCTTTCTGGGAAGAACAAAATTTCCAGAAGGGCTTAAAAATAACCCCCCAAACATGCCATGGCTCAGCCAAGCAGCTAATGTTAAAGCTCAGTCCAAATTTAGATCCCATCAAGTTCAAGAAAGGCCACACCCTTCCAGGGGTGCGGGCGCCCACATCCAAGGTCCAAGCACAGAGCCCCGACAGGCAGTGGGGGGGGTGGGGTCGGCTGGAGTCAAATCCACCTGGGAAAGGACCCGCCAACCTTCCTACACATAAACTGCAATCGAACGAGTCCTCCCAAGCCCCAGGGACTTTCTTACCTCCATCCTCCTCGATTCTCGACAACCCTGGCAAGAATGCTGCCCTCCTCCGGAGACCTGGGCTCGGGGGTCGGCCGGAGACTGCAAGGCTGCAGACCTTCTGTATTCTGGCTCTTTCCTAGGAGCACACAGGTGAGTCCGAGGGGCAGGGTGGGGGTCAGCAGCCACAGCACATTGGGCTGACTCCCTGCAGGTCTGGGCAGCCGCCTGGGTGGGTGACCAACAACACTCTGGGGTGAGTCGTCCCCAGCGGAACGGGAGCGTCCCCGGGAAAGCCAGGAGGGTCCGGGCCTCACCAAGCAGCTCCCAAACTGGAGCTGGAAACCCTTCCGGGCCGGGCCTCAGAGGTCACCTCTGCCAGGAGAGGCCCAACCAACCCCGGAGACTCCCAATCACGGTGGGGCGGCTACACAGGTACAGGGAACTGGATTCAAGGACGCCCAGGGAAAGCGCAAACTTCCAGCCCTCAGAGAGCCCGGCAGAGAAGGCGGACCCTCAGGGTCAGCTGGAGCACAGCTCACGCAGCCACCCGGTCCCAGCACAGAATGCAGCACCCTGATGCAGGAGGAGCCGGGATGACCCAGGTTTAGGTTTGAACTCGCTAGTGGCTGCAGATGCAAAGGGAAACAAACCTGTCAGGGCTCTGTTGAAAAAAAGCAATTTCCAAGAAAGGTCCTGGGGTCACTAGCGTTCCGTCCAATCCCAGCTATCCCGCCTGGTCATGACCAGGGCAACCCTCGACTCGCACGGCCGGGGCCACGTGCCTGCCACGGGCATGGTCCCGGGGGGATCCGTGACCCCGCCTCTGCTGGGACCCCGGGCACCCACCAAATTCCCTGGAAACACCATCGGCCGGGTTCCACGTCAGGGACTCCACGGGGCTGCTGCCCACGCATCTCCATCGGGACCCTTTTGTGGCCGTGCGTCACCTGTCCCCGGGGGCTCCTGCCACGCTGACTGCTCCTGCTTCTCGGGCGCTGTCCCCTCCCTCCGGCCACTTCCTCGGCTGGCCACGGCCGACACGGCTTCCTCCCGGGTGCCCGGGACACGCTTCACGGCACTGCTCCCCCATGTCTGTGAGTCCGGGTAAGGGGTGTCTCACTGGCCTGGGGTCAGCGGGGCCGGCCACGGAGCTGCGCGTTGCTCACCAGCTCGAGGCCGCCGCAGCACAAGCGGGCACACGCTCACCGGCCGCCACAGCAGGCCGACAAAGCAGAGGGCTCCCGGGGCACTTGATTCCGTCTGAGGCCGACATCACTTTGATTTCCCACCTTCAGAGTTGCAGCAACAGAAGCTGACCTCCTGGTTCTCGCCACACCGGGTCAGAAAAGAGAGCTGTCAGCTGGACTGTTTGTGACCTTTCCTCGTGGATGCGGCCTCCCACCGGGGGCCCGTCGGTGGGCCTGCTGCCTTCGTCCCTCGGCCCGCCCGCGGGGACGCTCCTGGGAGCTGCATGTGACAGGCGAGTCACGGAAGCCGGGGGGCCAGAGCTGGGACGCACGGGGTCACAGGAGGAGAGCTAGAGGACCGTGTGGGGTCCTGAGCCTGCAGAAAGGAGCCGCCTAATGTCAAAGGCAGGAACACACCATCCTCCGTCCACTTGGCCTAAGTGTGCAAGCAGGAAAAATACAGGGAGGGACACACGGGCCTCAGCCACGTTCTACCTACATCCCTTGGGAGTGACCTGGGTGCTCCCCCCGAACACCCCACTGGAGACACTTCACCGAAGGTGGGACAGTGGCATCCTGGCTGGCACGTGGCAGCCCTAGTGGGACGGGAGGCGGAGGCCCCACAGCGCTACCTCTCGTTCACTGTGCCCTCGGGCCTGCCCTCCCCTGCTCCGGCTTCTCCCTGCAGGGCTCGGGAGGTGGAGCGCTGTCTGTCGGTCCGGCACCAGCTTGTCATGGGTCCCGAGCCCTGCAGCCTATGGCCCCGTCCCCAGGAGCCCTCTCTCAATGGCACCAAATTTGTCCAGATTACATCCGCTCCAGTCACAACCAGATTAAACTGCTTGAGGGGCACTGTTTGTGTTTTTTTTTTAAAGATTTTGTATTTAAGCAGTCTCCTTGCCCAACGTGGGCCTGGAACTCCCAACCCCCAAGAGTGGTGTTCTCGACTAAGCCAGCCGGGTGCCATCATTCCTATTTTTAAAAGCCCCGAAGCCAAGGGGAAACATACAACCCGAACGTAGGCATCTCTGTGCCAAGGCTCCGGACAACTGTGCCATGCGGGGAAATTTCCATGTAGTTCAAATCTGCTGAACCACTTCTGTGTTACGTTATCGTTCTCAAATAAATGCTGTCAACCTGAATGAAGAAAAGGCCTTGCGGGCAGAGGGTGAGGTCCACCTGACACCCACCCTTGGAATCCAGGAGGCGTGCCCTCCTGCTAGAAGGTGGGAGGCCCGCCCGGCCGTGAGGGCGGCAGGTGCACACGGCCCTGGGTGTCCGAGGGGCTCTGGCCCTCGCCCACGGGGGCAGGCCTGGAGGGTCTGGTCCCCTTGGCCACACACACGCCCTCGAGGAACCTCTACGTTCATAATATCCCTGCCGGCGGGGTTGAAAAATCCAACTTACCAAACCGACTCAGTTCCTAAATGCACAGTACCTGTTTCCAAGGTTTCTGGGGTCAAGGTTGATGCTTTATGAAATCACAGAATGAAAACAAAAGGCTAGTTTCGTTTTTTGGGGTGGGGGGTGGGGTCATTATTTCTATTC